CCCCGGCTCACCTTGACATAGATGACGGGGATGGTCTGCTTGGCCTTGGTGAAGTGGCGTGCCACGCGGTACACCGTCTCGGGCACGAAGTCCAGCACCAGGTTCAGGTACACCTCGTCCTTCTGCAACGGGGCTGGGTGAGAGGGGACCCGGGACCCCGGCGGCCCCACGGACCCGCCCCCCCCAGGGGGGGAGGGAGGCAGAGAGGACCCCCCCGGAGTCTCATGGACGCTCTCCGCTGGGGGTGAGGGGACCCAGGACACACCCCACGGCCCCGTAGACTCTTCACACAGGGAGGGTGCGAGGGAACCCAGGAGGCACCCCGCTCCCCAGGATCCCCCCCACCTCCCCCAGCTGTATGGGCCAGTGCTCACCCCCCCTGCCCCCGCCCCGGTGCCCCCTGACCTTCTCCCCGCTGGAGTAGAAGTAGTAACGCAGACGCACGATGTTGCCGTGATCCAGCTTGCGCATGATCTGCAGCTCCCGGTTCTGGGGGGACACGGACGGGGTGAGCGAGGGAGCCTGGCAAGGGGGGGCCCCCGGCTCTCGCTCCCCCCATGCTCACCTTGAACCGCTTGTCCTGCAGCACTTTCTTGATGGCCACCAGCTCCCCGGAGTCGGCCAGGCGGGCCTGATAGACCACGCCGAAGGAGCCATTCCCGATGACCTTGATATCTGAGTAGGAGACCTCCTGGGGGCGCTCCGGGCCCTGGCCAGGCGTGGCCACCACCGTGCTCACCTTCCCGCTGTCCCCTGGGGATGGTGGGGGGGGTTAGAGAGATGGCCAGGGACCCCCCAACCCTGCCCTTTCCACTGGCCCCAGGGACGGGGGGGCTTAGAGACACGGCCAGGGACCCCCCAACCCTGCCCTTTCCACTGGCCCCTGGAGACAGGGGGGGCTTAGAGACACGGCCAGAGACACCCCAACCCTGCCCTTTCCACTGGCCCCAGGGACGGGGGGGCTTAGAGACACGGCCAGGGACCCACCAACCCTGCCCTTTCCACTGGCCCCTGGAGACGGGGGGGCTTAGAGACACGGCCAGGGACCCCCAAAGCCCCCCCACCACTGCCCCTGCCCCTCCCTTCCCGCTGAGCCCTGGGGATGGGGGGTTAGAAACACAGCCAGAGACCCCCTCATGGTCCCTCCTTCCCAGTTTCCAGGTTAGAGAGAGCCAGAATCCCCACACCCGCAACCCCACAGCACCTCTGCCACTGGCCCCTCCCCACTGACCCATATCACACAGCCCCACCTCTGCCCCTGCTACCGCCGCCCCCGGCACCAAACCCCCACATCTCCCTTCCCCCCACTAAAGAGACTGACCCCAAATGCCCTCCCCCTAGAACACTCCAGCCACCTCTGTACCCCCCACCCCGTAACACCCCCACTTCTCCTGCCCCAACACCCTCCCCAACACTGACTAGGCAGCCCCCCAGCATCACCCCAAGCATCTTCTCCCCCCCACCTAATACCTCAGGGCGCCACCCTGCAACTCCCATGGAGAGGAAGCCCAGCAGCCAGAGAAATCCTGCCATGAGAACCCCCAATCCGCACCCCAGGTAGCCTCCCCATGCAGCAGCTCCCCCCCAACACAGAGATGTGGTATCCAGGTGGTGGGCTCAGCCAAGGCCCTGAACCCCAACACTCAATCCCCAAATATGATGACAGAGCCACCCGCCAGCCCCCCAACTGGGACCCTAGAGCCTAACCCTAACCTCCAATTAGCTTCTCCCCAGCCTCCAGAGGCCCCCCCTTCACATGACCAGCCCCGTCACAGCCCCCACTGGCTCCCAACACCCGCAGTGAAGTGATGCACTTGGGGACCCACAATAGTTCTCCCCCCGCCCATACATCCAGGAACGCCCCCCCCATGGATTCCCCCGCTCCCCTTTCTCCTGCCCCCCGCCCCCTTCTACCACACTCAGCCTTGCTCCCTGTCCCGCTCAGAAATGCCCCCCACTCTCTGAACAGCCTGTGAACCCCCTTCCCCTTCGGACCATCTGCAGCCTTCTGAGCCCACCCCAACCGTCCTGCCCCCTCCTCCCACAGCTCCCGCTAACAGTACCCCCTGCATACGCTCCTTCCCCCACCGCCCCTCCCCACAGACACCTGCTCCTCTGCCACCCCATGGATCCTCCCCCCACACTCCACCTCCGCAGCCTCCTTCTCCTAGGCCCCCCCCCGCCCTTAAACCCATCCCCCACGGATCCCCCCTCGGCCCTGCTCCTCCGCACAGACCCGCCAGCTCCCACCCCCAATTCCGAACCACCTCAAACACGGGCCCTCCCCCTACTCCCCAGTCCTGCCCCACTCACACCCCAGAGCCCCAGCTCGCCCTTCAGTCCCCCCCGCCCCCCATCTCACCCCCCTGCCCCCTTCAGTCCCCCCCGACCCCCATCTCACCCCCCGGCCCCCTTCAGTCCCCCCCGACCCCCATCTCAACCCCCCGGCCCCCTTCAGTCCCCCCCGACCCCCATCTCACCCCCCTGCCCCCTTCAGTCCCCCCCGACCCCCATCTTACCCCCTGGCCCCCTGCCCCCCATCTCACCCCCCCGACCCCCATCTCACCCCCCTGCCCCCTTCAGTCCCCCCCCCCGACCCCCATCTCACCCCCCTGCCCCCTTCAGTCCCCCCCGACCCCCATCTCACCCCCCTGCCCCCTTCACCCCCCCACCCCCACCACCCCCTGCCCCCTCAGCCCCCCCCGACCCCCCATCTCACCCCCCGACCCCCATCTCACCCCCCTGCCCCCTTCAGTCCCCCCCCGACCCCCATCTCACCCCCCCCCTGCCCCCCTTCAGTCCCCCCCCCGACCCCCATCTTACCCCCGGCCCCCTGCCCCCCATCTCACCCCCCGACCCCCCATCTTACCCCCGGCCCCCTGCCCCCCATCTCACCCCCCGACCCCCATCTCACCCCCCTGCCCCCTTCAGTCCCCCCCCGACCCCCATCTCACCCCCCCTGCCCCCTTCAGTCCCCCCGCCCCCATCTCACCCCCCTGCCCCCAGCCCCCCCCACTCACGGCCGAGTTTCAGGCCCGGCGGGAAGGGCCCGACGCCGCCGCCCCCCCCCGGCCCGGGCCCCGCCGCCCCCGCCTTGCCGCCCGGCGCGGCCCCCAGGGGCGGCCCGGGCGGGGCGGGGGCTCCGGGGCCGGGGGGGAACCCGCCCGCGGCGGCGTCGACGAAGGAGCTGGTCCGGGGCCGGGAGGGGCCGGCGCTGCCGCTGCTCATGGCGAGGCCGGACGGGGGGGGCGGCGGGGTTAGCCAGACTGCGCCTGCGCGGCGCCAGCCCCGCCCCTCCCTGCCGCGGGGGCCGCCGGGAAACCGAGTCCGGGCCCCGCCCCGTCCCCTCCCTGCCGCGGGGGCCGCCGGGAAACCGAGTCCGGGCCCCGCCCCGTCCCCTCCCTGCCGCGGGGGCCGCCGGGAAACCGAGTCCGGGCCCCGCCCCCTCCCTGCCGCGGGGGCCGCCGGGAAACCGAGCCCGGGCCCCTCCCTGCCGCGGGGGCCGCCGGGAAACCGAATCCGGGCCCCGCCCCCCGCCCCCGCCCCGCCGCGGGGGCCGCCGGGAAACCGAGCCCGGGCCCCGCCCCCTCTCTGCCGCGGGGGCCGCCGGGAAACCGAATCCGGGCCCCGCCGGGAAACCGAGTCCGGGCCCCGCCCCCTCCCTGCCGCGGGGGCCGCCGGGAAACCGAGTCCGGGCCCTGCCCCGCCCCCTCCCTGCCGCGGGGGCCGCCGGGAAACCGAGTCCGGGCCCCGCCCCCTCCCTGCCGCGGGGGCCGCCGGGAAACCGAGTCCGGGCCCTGCCCCGCCCCCTCCCTGCCGCGGGGGCCGCCGGGAAACCGAGTCCGGGCCCCGCCCTGCCGCGGGAGCCGCCGGGAAACCGAGTCCGGGCCCCGCCCCGCCCTGGGGGTTGCCGGGAAACCGAGTCCGGGCCCCGCCCCATCCCCTCCCTGCCGCGGGGGCCGCCGGGAAATGTAGTTTCCTCCGCAGCCGTCCCAGAGCGGCAGCCCCCCCCCGCCAGGCCCCAGACACGAGGGGTTCAAGAGCTCCCCCCCCCCCCGCCCAGCCAGGGACTCCGACTCCAGGGCAGCCCGTGTCTGCGGACCCCCCCGCGCCTGTCCCCCAACAGCCCCCCCCGTCCCCCCGTTTCCCCACAGAGCCGAGCCGCCAGCCAGCCAGTTCCCACGTCCTTTATTGGTTATTTTTATACATTCGGAACCCGAGCCCCCCCCCCCGGAATTGGGATAAGGCTTCATAAGTCACCCCCCAGCCCCCCCTAACCAGGGCCCCCCAGACTGGGGTCTGCCCCCCACCCTGCTTCCAGCTCTGGATCCACACGCCCCTCCCGCCCCCAGGGGCTCAAGCCCTGCCCCCCTAGGAGAACTGGGGGGTACCCAGCTCCCACCCTGCCGGGGCCCAGCCCGCTCCGTGCGACCCCCCAGCTCTCCCCACCTTGGGGCCCCCCGTCTCGCTACGGGGACCCAGGGGAACGGCTGCTCCGCTCCTTGCGGGGTTGGTGAGAGGCTAGCGGCCTTGGGAAGGGGGGAGAAATGTCAGTTCAGGTCCTACCCCACTGGGGGGACACGGGGTGCCTGCACCTCCCACCCCCCTTTCCCACACAGACAGTACTTCAACAGGCACTTGAGATTCCCCCCCCGCCCCTGCCCCCCCCGGGGTGGCTCAGGCCAGCAGCCGCACCCACCCCACTCATTTTTGGTTATCTAAAGCCATCTTGAGCCCCCCGTGCAATCTGCGGGCCCCCAAACGCCAGACTGCCCCCCCCAATGAAAGAAGGGGCCATACAGCCTTATACAGACCAATCTAAGCTGGGGGGAAGGGGAGAAGCTAGGTCCACAGGCCACAGGGGGCACAATATGGCATCCACTCTTTCCCAGGACACTGGGCTAGATGGACCTTTGGTCTGACCCAGTCTGGCCATTGTGTCCCCGCAGCCCCCCAGTAATACAGGGGTGCTGCAGGACTGGTTTCCATTTCTGATCAGATAGGGCTTAAAGAGAGTTTATTGTGCTTTAAAGCCCCTGTTTCCCGCAAATGAGGGGCGAGGGACATTGAGATCCCTCAACATCCCCCCCAATTTAGATCAACCCTCCCCAACCCACAAGGCAGCAACTGGATATAAACAAGGGGATTCAGGGGGTGGGAAAAAGGATAAAAACAAAATTCTACGTGATATAAATTCTGGGGTCATCCCCTCTTTAAAAACCAGAGACCCTGAAAGGAAAGCTGCCCCCAGATTTAAAATCATCCCCCCAAAAATATATATATATGTATATCGAAGTAAAAACAGCTGAGCGCCCCCTGCCCCATGTCAACATACAGGGTCCTGGAGAGAAGGCGGCCCAGAGAAGGGTTAAAATCTCTGAGTTAAGGCAGCAGAAGTCGGCCCCCCAGCCCACCCCCCCCCCGGGGCACCGGCTCCACCTCTACGAGTCCTTGTTCTCCAGTGAGAGCTGGGCCGTGGCGTGGGGCAGGTCGGTGCTGACACGTCGCCCACCCCCGTCCAGGGCGCCCCCGCCCTCCCGCTCCCCCTTCACCTTCTTGTCATCCGCCTCATCGGGGCCCCCCCCCGCGCCCGCCTCCAGCCGCTGGTCCTCGCTCCAGCGCCTCTTGAAACGCAGCTTGAGGGGGATGCACTGGCCGCTCTCCTCGCCCTGCCGGGGGGCCAGGGCTACCGGGGGCTCCCCAGGCTTCTCGGGGGGGACGGGGGGAGCCTTGAACACCTCCTCATCTTCCTCGCTGACGTCCGTCACCTCCACCGTCACCTCCTCCTCCTCCGACTCCCCCTCCGAGATGGGCTCCACCTTGATGCAGGGCAGCTGGGGTTCCGGGGCGGCCCCTTCACCGGGGGGTGCCGGCACCTTGTCCCGGTTCCGCCGGCCCAGCGGGGGCGGTTGCAGTTTGAATTTGAAGGGGGCGGGGGGCTCCTCGGGCGGGGGCGGCTTCTCGGGGCGCTGGGGCTGGGGCACGAGGATGTGGGGGTAGTGGAGGAAGGCCCGGGGGCTGAGGTGGTAATTGTAGACGCTCTGAGTGTGCGCCTGCAGGTAGCGCTTCATGTCCTCGGGGTTGAAGGAGAAGTGGGAGCCGCCAGGGTACATGGGGCTCAGGGTGGGCGAGGGGGTGTAGTTCATGTGGGTGGGGGTGAGGGGCAGGGCGGGTGAGAGCTGGGGGGGCAGCAGGGCGCCAGGGCCGGCCATGGGGGACACCGGGAAGGGGCTGAGGGGCTCGGGCCCGCGGGGCCGGGGGTAGGCGCGGAAGAGGCTGTCATGGGCCAGCCGGGGGTGGGCGGGCAGGGGGGGCCCGCGGAAGCCGCCCCCCTCGCCCGGCCCCCCGCCCCGGCGCCCCTCCTCGCCCAGCGGCTCCTCCAGCTCCGAGGTGGCCGAGGTGGCATCGCTGCAGTCGCTGACCGAGCCGCGGGCGAGGCGCCGGGCCACGGCCGAGAAGACGCCGGGCGAGCGCAGCTCCTCTGCCCCGGGCGACAACACCTCCGACGGCGTGGAGGGCGGGAAGCGGAAGTGGGAGCCGCCCGAGGGCACCGGCGGGGCGCTCTGGGGCACGGGGCCGCCTGCCACGGGAGGAGAAGGGTGAGGGGGACCCTCAGCGCCTGCCTGGCCCCCAGCGCCAGCCCACCAGCCCCCCGCCAACCCCCGCCGGGATGAGCCACCACCTCAGCACAGCCCCCCCACCCTGCCCGGCCCCCCACCATCAGCCCCCATCCCACACACAGCCTGGCCCCGCTCCTTCCCCCCTCCATAGTAACCCCAGTCCAGCCAGTCCTCTCCCATCCCCCACACCTACTATTTGCCACCCCCACTGCCTCCAATCCCCCCCATCCATCCTCACAGCATCCCCCACTGTGTCCCCACCCGGCCTACCCTCCCCCACTGCTCCCCCATTTTCCACCAAGTCCCCAGGCCCCGAGAGGTACCCTCCGCCCAATCCTTCCCAGAAGGGCCCCCCTTCCTCCCCCATCTACCCAAGCCCCCTCACCTGCCATGCCCATGTCGATGAAGGGGTAATTCACCAGCACCAGCTTGTTGAAGTTGAACTTGTAGGTGAATCGTTTCCCTTTGGTTTTGTGCAGGATCCGTTTGTTGTAATAGTACCTGGCAGGGGGAGCCAGGACCATCAGCCCCCACCATAGACCCCCCCCCGGATCCCTCTCCCAGCCATAGCTCCCATCCCAGGTCCAGTGGTTTGGGGGAGGGGCCTGGGAGCCAGGACTCCTGAGTTCTCCACCTGCTTCTGGGAGGGGTGGGGGGCTGGAAGCCAGGACTCCTGGGTTTTCTCCCCAGCTCTGACACCGACGAATGGTGTGCTCTTTCCCTGCCTCGGTTTCCCCACCACCCCCATGGCGCCCCCACTCACCTCAGCGCCCGGCTCAGCTTGTCGTAGTTCATCTGAGGCTTGCACTTGCGGACGCCCCACAGCCGCGCCACCTCGTCGGGGTCCTTGATCACGAACTCGCCGTAGTCGCCCTGCCAGGCGATCACGTCGTGGTACTCCTCCTTGCGCAGCAGCTCCAGGATGAAATGCCACAGCTGGATCTGCCGCGAGCCGGGGCTGGACTCGGGCTTGTAGGCCCAGTCGGGGAAGGCGAACCCTGTGGGGGGAAGGGGCGGGGTGTTAGCCAGCACAGGAGGGGCACTGGCCCTTTAAGGTCTGGTTCACATGGGGGTCCAGAGATGCCCAAACTGGCCCCCCTCAAAACAAAATGACAGGACCCGGGAGGCAGGACTCCTGGGTTCTCTCCCAGCTCTGGGCGGGAAGCGGGGCCTGATGGGTTAGAGCAGGGGCTTCTGGGAGCCAAGATTCCTGGGTTCTCTCCTGGCTCTGGGAGGGGAGCGGGGTGTAAGTGGTTAATGCCCCCCATGCCAAGTCCCGGGGTGTAGACACAAGGTGTGTGCGTCTTCCCTGCCCTGGGAGGGAACAGGAAACCGGGTGCCGCCAGGAGCCTGGGACACCCGCCAAGCCGCTTCCAGTCGGGGTCCATGGGCCAGCTGGACTACCCCGCCCCTCACTCCCGACCTGCAGCTCCCCCATTTCAGGGCTCATGAGAAGTCCCTGCACCCCTGAGGCTTGCCCCACACTGAGTTGTGGCTGCCTCTGGCATGGGGCAGAATCCAACCCCCCCATATGGGGAGTAGCAGCCTGAGGCCCCCCCCAGCCCTGTGAGAAGGGGCTGGGGGTGTCTGTGCCGCGGGCAGACAGCTGAGGTCAGCACCTCCCAAACAAGCTGCCTCTGTCCAGCCCCCTCCCCCCACCTTATCCCTGCCCCCTCTGCTACGCCCCGCCTCCCCCCCCCAAGCTATACCACCAGAGCCTCGCCAACCCACGGCCTCCCCCCCCCACACCCTGGCAGGAGGCGGCTCCTCCAGGGGCACAGTTTAGCATAAGGCTCAGCCCGCAGCTGGGGGTCTGGTCTCTGCACCTCGACCCCCCCCAAAACAGGTAACAGGCCGCACAGACATGGGCCATTTCCCAGCGTGCTGTGGGGCCACCCCCCCACACCCTGCCCGTCTCGCCAGCCAGACTGGCTGCGCCAGCAGCAACTCCCGAAAACCACTGGCCCCCCAAAAACACCAGGGGGAGCCACAGCCCCTCGACCTCCCCAGCACCCCCCACCCGGTTAACCCCATCAGCACCAGGCCCTCCCACGCAGCCCAGCTGGGGGGGTGGGAAGCTGACCCCCCAGTGGCTGGAGGGTGTCCTTGTCAAGGGGCACAGGCCAGCATCCCAGCCCCTGCTGGGGGGGCGGTTTCCCATTTCCCAAACCCCAGGCGCTCAGAGCCCATCAATAATTCAGAGCCTCTGTAATGGAGGCCGGGCGCCGCAGGGGTGGGGGGGGGCGCGAGGCCAGAGCCGCAGACAGAGCCATTAGGGCGATGATCTCACCCCCCCTCCAGCCCAGCCCCCCCTCCGGCAGGGGTGGAGCAGAGAAGACCCCCCACACACACAGCTCAGAGACAGAGGCAGCTCCCACCCTTGGGGGCCAGGGCACCCCCATCCAAACTGGGGGGGGCACCAGGAACGGGAGGGGCTGGGATTGGAGGAATGCAGGGTAACACCCAGCCCTGCACCCCAAAGCACTGAGGGGGTCTCCCCCAGTCTCCTGCCCCCCACCAACCCACACTGGGTGCCGCGGGGCCTCGGCAAACGCATCCAGCCCACCCCCCTCCAGCTTCCAGTCTCCAAGCAACAGGCAACAGAGCGAGCCAAGCACTAAAAATAACCCGCCAGGAGGCCGAGGGAAGGAGCAGGCTGGGGAGGGCCCCTGGCACCCACACTCCCTATCCCCCCCCCCACCAGGAACCCAGGTGATCAGGACACCTCCCCTCCCCCACCTCCCTGGAGTCCCACCTGGGATGCAGCCATACAATTGCCTTTTACTTTCCAGCACAGGGCCATGTATAACCAGCCCCCTACGCCCTACCCCAGAGGTGGCTGCATCCCAGTGCCAGGCGAGGGCTCCCTGTATAACCAGCCTTTGCACCCCACCCAGAGGGGCCGCATCTTAGTGCCAGTGAGGCCCTCAGATCTGGGGCAAGGAGCAGCTGGAAGGAGACATCCCCCCTCCCCGGCAAAGACCTTCTCTCCAGGAAGATCAGGTGGGGTCACTGGTCCAGAGGATCAAGTGGGCAAAGAGGGCAGGAAGAGGAGGGACCATGGGGTCTGAAACCCCACCCCCAAATCCCCACTGGCCCCAGCCAGATAGCTGGAAGCTCCCCTCCCCCCACGGGCCCCTCCCCCCCAGCCTCTGACTCAGCCCCACTTACACACAGGGGCCTGTTCTTGCTAATTAGCCCAGGGAAGGGGGGGGGCTCTGACATCAGCCGCCCGCAGAGATCCTGTGAATGGGGTCACTGTTCCCCGGCTGGCGCTGCCAGACACGCGGGGTGACCCCCCTCTGCAGCCCCCCCAACAAAGCCTTCCCCAGGTGCGAGAGCTGGGGGGGCTGCGGGTGAGGGGGGCCACACAAGGATACGTGAGTGGGGCACTGGGGGGACACTCCAGGCTTCCCCCACCCTACACCTACTGGGACTTTAGGGGGCACCACCCACAGACCCATATCTGTGGGGCTGAATAACCCTCCCTTTATTGCTGTAGGGGAGGCAACTGAGACACCCCCCCCCGTGGTGGAACCCCCATTCCAATGGCTGCTGGTGGGGGGGAGGTGCCAGAGCCAACAGTTAAGTAGAGGGGCCCTGATGAAGGATCAAGGGTGCTGATTCCTAGATCCAGGCCTGGGGGTGGTTTGGGGCCCCCAGCCCCACCTCTGTAAGAAAGAGTTGAGACAGCAAACCCCCAGCCAGGAGCTGGAGCATTCCTGCTCCCCCCCCCCTCACCAGCCACTCAGGACACTCACCGAGCCTACAGCCTGCCCCCCAATCCCAGCAACCCCCTCTCGTGGCCCCCCCAAACACACTCCTTGAGGGGCCCCCTGCTCTGTCCCCCCAGAGGTGTCAGTTCTAGGCCCCCCGACAAAGGCAGAGCCAGCTCAGGAGCCAGTGACTAAGCTGGTGCCCACTCTCCCGCGGGTGCCCACCTCCCGCCCGTGTCCCCATCCCCCGCCAGCTCTCCGCCAGGGAGAAGGGGGCGGGGGGGGGGCACAAAACCACAGTCTGCTGGCAGGCGCAGCCCCCGGGTCTGGCATGAGCCGCCGGCAGCCTGGTGCCAATGGGTGGGAAGGCCAGACATGGGGGGGAGGGAGGCCGTGCTGCCACCCGCCCCCCGGGCCATGCCAGCTGCAAACTCCTGGGAGCATCCCCCCCACCCTTCAAAAGGTTCCCCCCTCGTATGCAACCCAGCTGCCCCATAACATCCGCTCGGCTGAGCTGGGGGGGGGGAGATGTTGGCTCTGGGGCGATCCCAGAGAGTTGGGGGGCTGGAATTCGCCGGGGTTCAGCCAGAAGAAGCGGAGCCCAGCCCCTGCCCACACACAATGCACCGACTGTTCCCTGCCCGTCTTCCCTCCAAGTCTCAGCTCCCAGCCAAGCCCCCCCCCCCCCCCGGACATTTTCCATTGCTCCCTAAGTGCGGGCACGTCTGGGGCGCAGACCGGCTTGGGGAGGGGGCGGGGGAGAGACACGATTCACCTCTTTTCCCATCTCGCTGTGTGGGGGTGGGGGGGGCAGGACCCCCGCGCCCAGCCCCACAGCAGGGCCTGCAGAACCCCCGGCCCTGGGGGACAGAACTGAGGTGTTGGCGAGCGGGAGTGGGTGGGATCTGGAGTTGGGAGCCCTAAGTTTGGTGTGTGTGTGGGGGGGGAATGGCGTCACTGTCTCTTTAAGCGCCCCCCCCCCCCAAACCGCACCACCTCTGTGACTAATCCCTGGAGCCAGCAGCTAACAGAGCCGGGATCGAATTCCAGCCCCCCCCCCCCCGAATATTACATCACTCCCATTCCTCCAGCCTCAAGCCGCAGCCTCCGGCTGGGGGGGGGACCACATCATAGCAGGGTGTCTGCGCGCTGGGGGGGGGCTGGTACAGCCGGGGGCAGAGCTGAGCGCCCCCGCCCGCCCTCAGAGAGCCTCAAAACTGGGGGGCCAGTACAAAGGGGATGGGAGGCTAAGGGGGCCATCGGCCAGCAGAGAGCGGGAGGGGGGTAAATCCGAGGGCTCTGATTTCGGGGCGGGGGGGGGTCTCGGTCGGCCTGTCCGGAACTTTCCCAGAGTCGAAGACAGGAAAAAGTTCTCCCGCCGCACTTATGGGGCGGGCGGGGGGGCGAGACAAGTCTGAACAGAAGCGAGCAGCACTTCAAAAAAACACCCAGATTCCTGGAGACAATGGGCTGGGGTGGGTGGCGCCAGGGGGGGAGGGGGAGCCCGGCACAAAACCAGCCAGGGGGGAGGGGAAGGGGGGGCAGGTCTTTGCAGAGGGAGTTCCCCCCCCCCGTCCCGCACAGGCAAGGGGACGGGGCATTTTCAAGCAATGAAGCCGCTCAACCAACCCGCCCCCCCCCAATTCAGCTTCCCTCCTCCCGCCCCCAGTCCCCGGCCAAAGTCCAGCCACAGAGTGGACAGTGACCCCCCGCCCGCCCCACGGAAAGCTGGTTGCAAAGTGGCTTCTTCCCCCCACCCCATCCAGCTCAGCCACAGCACAATCGAGCCCCCCCACCCGGGTAAAGTCCGGAGCTAAAGGCTACACCCCCCCCAACTGTATTTAAGGTGGTATAGCCTCTGTTTGTAGTTGGGGAGGGGATCTGGGTCAGCGATAGCTACGACCCCCCCCCTTTCGGTGTGCTGGGGGGGTAAAAATCCAGAGTAAAAGGCTGCCGATTAACCCCCCCACACGCACACCGGGGAAGACCAAGATCGGCGCTGGGTTTAAGGTGGTATCGTCCTCTCAAAGGAGGGGAAAAAAAGTGTGTGTGTGGGGGGGGGAGAGAATTCCAACCGGCTCGGTCTTCCTGGAGGGAAAACACACCCTGCCGCCATCCCCCCCCAACACAAACATTAAAGTGGGGGCAGAGATTCGCCCCCTCCCCCGCCGGGCGCCACCTTAACGCCGCGTTGTTTGTCGGAAACAAAAAGTTCCTTTTCGAACGTTGAGTTTCCAGTTCGGAACTTTGCAACTTTTCTCTCCCCGGGACCCGGGGGGGGTAGAGACCCCCCCCCCGCATGGGCCGACAGCGGGGGGGGGGGTGTTACTAGCCCGGGTGGTATCCGGGGGTGCAGCCCGCCGCGCAAAATAATGCGCCCCCTCCCCCAGAAGCCGAGAGGCGGAGTCACCCCGGAGCCCCCCCAAGCTCCCCTCCCCCCACGCGCGGGGCCCCCCACGCCGCGGCAGCAGCTGGGGCCGGGAAATGCAACAGGTCCCACTGCGCCAAACTCCACCGCAGCCTGCCCAGGAACCCCCCCAAGCCGTGGGGTGGGGGAGGGACCCACGCGCCCACCCCGGAGCAGGACCCACGAACTTTCCAACCCCCCGCCCCAGCCACCTCCATCACAAGCGCCAAGGGCGAGTCCTGCCAGCCCCCCCCAGGCCTCACCCCCCCAGCTCCTGCCCCCCACCGCCGCCACTTGTGTCCCCCTCCTCGGTACTTCTGCCGCCCCCCACTGCTCCCAGCCCCCCACTTCCTCCTCTCCCTGCCCCCCAGGCCCCCCCACATCACTTGCTCCCAAGATGCCCCCTCCCAGCCCCCCGAAACCTTGGGGGGACACCCCCACCTCCAAATCCCTCCAGCCCCCCCAAGCTGGAACCCCAGCCCCCCAAAACCCTGGGCGAACCCCCGCCCCCACTTCGTCCAGCCCCCCAAAATCCTGGGGGCACCCCCTAACTTCCCATGCGCCACGTGGTCCCAGCCCCCCGCGGTCCCCACCTGCGTCCGCAGGGGTCTTCATGGCTCCTGCGCTGCAGCCGCCGCCGGGTCGGACTCGGTCTCTTCCCCCCCCCGGCTCCCCCCCTCCGCCCCTTCCCGGCCTCATATGGAGCCGGGACGCCCACGCCCCCTGCAAGGACGTCACCGCCGCGTCGCCATGGACACTGAGCCCGCCCCCTCGGCCGGCTCCGCCCACAGACGCCGGAGGGGAGGGGCGGCTTAAAAGGGCCGCACAGAGAGTGGGGCGGGAATGGGGCCCGATGGGGTTGGGGTATCCGGGGACAGACGCGGGCATCCAGGGTAGATACGGGGGTAGGTGGGGTATCAGGCGGGGGTAGATGCAGAGGTAGGTGGGGTATCGGTCAGCGGTGTCGGGGGTAGATGGGGGGGTATCGGTCAGGGGTGTCGGGGGTAGATGGGGGGGTATTGGAGGTAGATGGTGTATCGGTCGGGGGTAGATGGGCCAGGGGGTATCGGGGGTAGATGGGGAGGAGGTATCCGGGGTAGATGCAGAGGTAGGTGGGGTATCAGTTAGTGGTGTCGGGGGTAGATGGGGGGGTATTGGTCAGGGGTGTCGGGGATAGATGGGGTGGTAGATGGGGTATCAGTCAGGGGTAGATGGGGAGGAGGTATCCGGGGTAGATGCAGAGGTAGGTGGGGTATCAGTCAGGGGTGTCGGGGGTAGATAGGGGGTATCAGTCAGGGGTGTCGGGGGTAGATGGGGTGGTATTGGAGGTAGATGGTGTATCGGTCGGGGGTAGATGGGCCAGGGGGTATCGGGGGTAGATGGGGGGGGGTAGATGGGGTATCAGTCGGGGGTAGATGGGACAGGGGGTATCCAGGGTAGATGGGGGGGTAGATGGGCAGGGGGTATCTGGGGTAGATGCGGAGGTAGGTGGGGTATCAGTCAGGGGTGTCGGGGGTAGATGGGGGGTATCGGTCAGGGTGTCTGGGATACATGGGGTAGTATTGGAGGTAGATGGTGTATCGGTCAGGGGTAGATGGGGAGGGGGTATCAGGGGGTGTCTGGGGGCAGGGCAGATGGGAATGGAATATGGGGGCAGGACTGGGGTGGGGGAGGGGCGAGTGACTGGGTGGTGGGGTGGGTCTGGGGAACAAGAGGGAGAGTATCTGGAGGATCAGGAGGGGGCTAGGGGGTGGAACAGGGGGCTCAGGCTGGGGAGATGTGGGAGAAAGGGTGTGTCTGGGATGGGGAACTTGGGGGATTGGGACTGTGGGGGGCAGGATGGGGATTCTGGGGTGCTGGGGGAGGATGCTCAGCACAAAGGGTGTGTTTGGGGGGACAGGACTGGAGGGGGGAGCCCAGGGCTGGGCTGGCAGGGGCTGCAGGTTGGGTCGGAGTGAGGGGCACCGGCAGAGTTGGGGGAGGCAGGGCTGGGCAAGCAGGGGCTGCGGGTTGGTTTGGGGGCTGGGCTAGCAGGGGCTGTGGGTCAGGAGTGAGGGGCACTGGTGGAGCTGGGGGGAGCCCAGGGCTGGGCTAGCAGGGGCTGTGGGTCGGGAGTGAGGGGCATCAGCAGGGCTGGGGAGGGAGCCAGAGGAACATGGGGCAGGGGTTTGCTGGGTCTGGACGTGGGGGGGACTCCCAGACAGACAGGATACATGGGTCAATCCATTGCTGGGGGCAGGGGGGTCTGGTCATCCTCTAGCCAGGACAGGGAGACCCCCCCACCAGGGTCCCCTTGCCATGAGACCACCCCAGACCTGGGGCGATGGTGGGCTTGGCAAAGGGGCCAGTGCGTGTGTTGGGGCTGGTCCCTACTGGGGACAGGGCTGAGACCTGGCAAACTCGATGTGGGCTGGGGGGGCAGGTGCAAGTTGTGTGTTAGGTGTGCGGAGTGTGTGTGTGAAGGGTTCGCCTGCCTGCAGGTGTCTGGGAGCGTGTGTGCAGTGGGGGGGTGCAGTGCCAGGTGTGTGGGGTGTGCAGGGAGTCCAAGGTGTGTTGGAATATGCAGGGGGGGTGGGCATGCAAGGTGCATTTGGGGGTGCAAGGTGTGTTTCACTGTGCAGTGGGTGTGGGGCATGCAAGGTGCATTTGAGTGTGCAGGTAAAGGGTGTGAGTGTGCAAGGCTGGGTGTGTTTGTGACGTGTATCCATGTGTCCATCCGTGTGTGTGTCGTGTCAGTGTCATGTTTCCCTGTGTCTGTCCTGCGTGTCTGGGTTGTGTCTGTCCCGCGTGTCCGTCCATGTGTGTGTCTGTGTGTGTGTGTGTGTGCGTGTGAGTCTCCCCGGGCCCCTCCCCCCTCACGTGGGGCCCCGGTGGGGGTAATTATAAAGGTGTTTGTTTTCGATTGCCTCATTTAGACACAAGTGGCTTTTGTTTGGTGTGTGCACGTGTGTCTGTGTGTGTGTGTGTGCGGGCGTGTCTGATGCAACCACTTAACACTCACAGAGCAGGAAACGTTCCCCCCCTCGCACAGGGGGCGGGGGGAGCCCCGACCCCGCTGCCAGGGTCAGAGGCCAGGGGATCTCACCGTCCTCATCTTCTCCCCCCCCCCCAAGTAAGGCCCAAATTACTGGGGGGGAGGGAGGGATTCTGGTTCCTAAATCAGGTGCTGGGGGAGGACACCTGCTCTGAGACAGAGACAAGATCACTATTAATTGGGTTGTTACCAAGGCCTGAGGCAGCTGCCGTGGAGAATTTCTACATGCATGTGCAAGCTACAGAGGAGCGTGCAAAAGGAGAGGAGGTGTGAGCAGGTGTGTGAGAGGGGGGAATCTGTGTGAGTGTGCAAGGGAGTGAGTATGTATCCAAAGGGGATTTGTGTGTGCAAAGGGGGTGAGTCTGTGTGCAAGGGGATGTGTTAGTGGCTGTGCACAGGGGATGAGTGTGCATCCTAGGGGGAATCCATGGGTGTGTAAAGGGGGCAGGTGCGCATGCAAAGGGGCTGAGTGTGTATGCCAGGGGCCACGTGAGTGGGTGTGCAAAGGATGATGAGTGTGCATGAGAGAGGAGGAGGAGGGATGAGTGGGTGTGCAAAGGGAGAGAGGGTGTGGGGCCAGCCATGGAATCTGTATGTGCAATGGAGTGTGATGGCCTCTTTTGCACACGTGGGTGTACCCCAACCCACCCTTACCTTGCCCTCTCCAGGTGGATCCATCCTGTCTGTGCTCCAGGGAGGGGCACCTGCAGTACATGCCACAGGCTGGGGGGGAGGGAGCTGGTGGGACAGAAGTGGGGGGTGGTTACAATGCACAAGAGACCCAGGGCAACCCGCCCAGAAAACCCCTCCGTTGGTGCCCTAAAGAAATACCACCTGTGAAAACTCCCCTCCCTGGGCCCCACCTCAGGACGGCTGACCCAGCCCCCTGGAGCCAGGGCTCCTGCCCCGTCCCACCACAATGCCCCCTGCTGCGGGAGGCTGGGGCTGGAGTAGCCGGGAGCTCCCCTGGGGTCCCCCTGTGTTGCCCTATGTCCCCCAGCCCTGGGGGAAGCGCCCCCTACTGGGTGGACACCTCCACCCGGCACTGCCCTTGCGCCTAGCGGGGGGAGGGGGCGGGGAGCAGCGGGCCAGGGCTGGTGCCGCTGGTTCTGGGCCCCGGGTATAAATAACTCTCTTATAAATAATGCAGCGTTATTCTCGCTATAATTATCGGCTGGGAAGCCTGTGGCCGGGCGGATGCATTAGGCGCAGTGCCCCTGCCCCTCCCCCTGTGCCCCAAACACCCCCCCCCCAGCCAACCCCCGACCTGCTTGGGGAGCTGGCAAATCAGAGCCCAGGTACCTAGCAAAAACAGCCCTTCTCCCCCGCACCCCCAAACTGCACTGGAAGGAATGGTGCTTGTCAGGGCACTGCCCCAGGGAAGCTCCCGGCACCCGGGTCCCCGCCTGGGCACTGCCCCAGGGAAGCTCCCGGCACCCGGGTCCCCGCCTGGGCACTGCCCCAGGGAAGCTCCCGGCACCCGGGTCCCCGCCTGGGCACTGCCCCAGGGAAACTCGTGGCCCCGGGTTCCTTTTTCATTCTAAGATTCGACAGCATGTGATTTAATAAGAATCATCGTTGCTAATTATTGCTGCCCTCCCCCTCCGGCGGCAGGGGCATTTCCCAGCCCGAGGAAAGACAGCATCTCACCCCCATTTTCTAGGTGAGAAACTGAGGCATGGACTGGCAAAAGGACTTGCCGTATCTCAGGCACTGAGTCAGTATCAAAGAACCGAGGAGTCCTGGCTCCCAGCCACTAGCCCCTACTCCTTCCCCAGAGCAGAGGAGAGAACCCAGGAGTCCTGGCTCCTAGCCCCCTGCTCTAGCCCACCAGCCCCCACTCCCTTCCCAGAGCCATAAGAGAACCCAGGAGTCCTGGCTCCCAATCCCGCCAAATACCCAATAGTAGGAAAAGCTCCAGGTCACTTACAGAGCAAGCGAGCGAGGAAGAGGATGAATGTGGCAGGTGTGAGAAGGCGGTCGGGGGGGTGTTATCGCTTTCCGATGCCCCCCACCCCACGGTGAGGAGCACCGCTTGGGCAAGTGCAGTGGGGGGTTCCTAGGAAGGAGGGAAGGACAGCGTGGGAATGGGGAGGGTGGGGCGGGGGGCACAGGAGGTGGGGAGGATGCGGCTGGTGCTGCAGGGTGGGTGCCGGCGGCAGAAATAGCCACGGGAGGCAAAAGGAAAAGTTTGTTCCTGCCGCTGAATTAGCAGGGGCTAAAAACAGCTGCTGTGAAATCTGGGCCCGTCCCCAGCCCTGGGTGGCAGCCAGCTGGCAGAGCCCCGGCCCAGCCCTGCCCTGCCCTGGCTGCCAGGCTGTGGGCAAGGCAGAGTCCTCGCACGGGCTCGCACCAGCCTTCTCACGCACAGGGGAGAGGCACATGCCTGCAGGGGCTCGCAGGGGCACAAGGCTTTCCTGGCATCTGGATGTGCACCAGTGTGCTCTTGCACACATGTGCACTAGTGCCCTCTCGCACAAGCAGGGGCATGCACCAGTGTCCTCTTGCACACCTGCTTGCCCAAGCAGGTGCCACATGTGGTCATGTTGCACATTCACTGACACAATCAGGCAGAGTCATTCTTTCATCCTCTCATTTGAACAAGCAGACAGGCACACAGGCATCCTCTTGTGCATTTGCACATACACACTCATAGACCTACAGCCAGGCTCGCATAAGCAGAAACTTGGTCACTAGCTGGGGCACTGTTGGGGAGAAGCTCGAGCATCAGGGTTCCCAGCTGGGGCACTGCTGCAGGGAAGTTCACAGTGCCAGTGTTCCTGGCTGGGGGCACTGCTGAGGGGAAGCTTGCAGGGGCTGGGGGCACTGCTGAAGGGAAGCTTGCAGCACTGGGTCCACTTCTTGGTCTGCAGAGAGAGGAGAGGTCTGGGGCAGTGCTAGAAGGGTGTCTGGGGGGACTGAAGGAAGTGGAGGGGCAGGTGGGAGCAGGAATACAGTTGAGGAGGGGAAAGAGAAACCCAGAAAGGTTGGGGTTAGGGATGCCAGGCACCTGGTCGAAAAGGGACCCGGGCGGCTCTGGTCAGCACCGTGCACTGGGCTGTTAAACATCTGGTCGGCAGCGCAGCGGGGCTAAGCCAGGCTCCCTGGCTCTGTGTGGCCGCCATGTCTGGCTCCTAGGCACAGGGAAGCTCTGTGTCCTGCACCGCCCCCCCCCCCCCGCGCCAGCTCTGCAATCCCATTGGCTGGGAACTGCAGCCAGTGGGAGCTGCGGGGGTGGCGCCTGCAGGCATGGGCAGTACACACTGTGCAGAGCCGCCTGGCCATGCCTCCGCCTGGGGGCCGCTTCCGGGAACAGCGCAGAGCCTGGCTTAGCCCCACTGAGCTGCCGACCAGGAACCTCCTGAGGTAAGCGCTGCCCGGCTGGAGCCTGTCCCAGGTCGGAACCCCCTCCTGCACCCTAACTCCCTCCCAAAGCCTGCACCCCCCCCTTGCACCCCAAACTCCTGCCCCAGCCCTGAGCCCCCCTCGGCCCCACCTCCCAGCCTGGAGCCCCCTCCTGCATCTGAAACCCCTCATCCCCAGGCCCACCCCAGAGCCCACACCCCCAGCAGGAGCCCTCACCCCCTTCTGCACCCCACCCCCTGCCTCAACCCGCAGCCCCCTCCCACACCCTGAACCCCTAATTTCTGGCCCCACCCAAGAGCCCACAGCCCCAGTTAGAGCCCTCACTCCCTCCCACACCCCAGCCTAGTGAGAGTGAGTTATGGCAGAGAGAGCGAGCGATGAAGGGAGAAGGGCTGGAGTGAGTGGGGATGGGGCCACAGAGAAGGGGCTGGGGTGGGGCAATGGTGTTTGGTTTTGTGCAATTAGAAAGTTGGCAGCTCTAGTTGGGGTGGGGCATGGGACCCCTCCCCTTGGAATGCACTAGCCCCAATGACAATTTACCATCCGGGTTCTTAAAGGGCCAGCACAGTCGTGGAGCCCAGACCCCCATGGTAGCCACCCCATGGGGCAGAATGTGCATTGCATTGCTTCCACTAACGCAGCGGTTCTCAAACTTCTGTCCTGGTGACCACTTCCACCCAGCAAGCCTCTGAGTGTGACACCCCCACCCCCCAAAAAAAATTAAAAACACTTTTTTATATATATAACACCATTATAAATGTTGGAGGCAAAGTGGGGTTTGGGGTGGGGTGGAGGCTGACAGCTCATGACCCCCCGTGTGATAACCTCTCGACCCCCTGAGGGGTCTCGACCCCCAGTTTGAGAACCCCTGCACTAAGGGGGGCATGTGCATGTGGGTGGAGGCAGGGTGTGAGGGGAGTAAGTTGCATTGTGCACATGGGGAAGTGAGTGGCAGTGCAACCAGCCATGGCCCTATGGATGTGGAGTTGTCTTCACCCTGGGGTGGAGAGTGGCCTCACGTTCATTGGTATCTGCGTGTGTATGGAGCAGCGGCGAGCAACCTGCAGTCAATGTCAGCAAAATGTCTTGCGGCCCGCAATCAGATTAGCCGCAGGTTGCCCACCACTGGTAGGGAGCATTGCATTTCCTGCACTGTGGGGGGCTGCACTGCATGCACCAATGTCTCTGTGAGGGGGCGGCTGATTGCATCCACTGCTGCCGTTTGCATTGCGTTCAGTCTGCATGTGCGTGTGTGTGCGCACATGACATATCACAGTTTCTCTGTGTGTGGATGGGGAGTTTCTTTGCACTGGGGCAGGAGGGAGTTGTATTCCATGCACCGGTTTCTCTGCATACGTGGAGTTGCATTTTGTGCACTTGTGACGAAGTGGGACTGTTCTTAATGTTTCCTCTGAATAGTGTGGGGGTGCCTCAGTTTCCCCTAGGCAGTTCTTAAGTATCTAGGGGGTGGAGTAAGGGTGTATGATCATTGCAGAGCCCTAGAGGGCAGGCGATTGCAGGGGTCTGGACACAGAGAATGGCCGACACCCTGTTTTCTGGCAACTGATGGCCTGGGCCCTTCCCCCCCTGCAAGGTGAGAGCTGAAGGGTTGGAGAACAAAGGAATCGGGTGACCACCTGGCCCTGGAAAGGAACAAAGCCCAGAGGAGGAGGAGCTGGAGGGGTTTTCAGTTTGGGGCTGGCTGGGACATGGAGTGAAGTGCAGACGTGGTTGTCTGGCTCACTGCCCCCCAAAATGGACCCAGCTGAGGGGTCCCGTTCTCTGCACCTGCAAGCTCTGTTTTAGACCATGTTCCTGTCGTCTAATAAACCTTCTGTGTTACTGGCTGGCTGAGAGTCACGTCTGACTGCGAAGTTGGGGTGCAGGACCCTCTGGCTTCCCCAGGAGCCCCGCCTGAGCGGACTCGCTGGGGGAAAGCGCACGGAGGGGCAGAGGATGCTGAATTCTCCGAGGTCAGACCCAGGAAGGTGGAAGCTGTGTGAGCTGTGTGTCCTGAAGACAGGCTGCTCATAGAAAGGCAACTGCCCCAGAGTCCTGACTGGCTTCATGGGGAGCAGTTCCAGAGCATCGCCCAGGGACTCCATGACAGCACTGGTGTCTGGATGTAGGAGACTTTCGTTACCTGTGCTGGTGGTCGAAGTTGTGTTGCATGTATATATACGGGTGGGGGCAGTTGCATTCCATGCTCTGTGCCCGTGCAGGGGATATGATGCAGGCATCTGGATCTGTGTAGGAGGTTGCATTCCATGCATCCGTGTTTCTGTACAGAGGGGGTTGCAGTGTTTGAACGAAGGGATGGACAGTTCTACCTGTGCGTGAAGGTTACATGGCATGGATCGATGACAGGAGTTGTAGTCCATGAACCATTTCTGTGGAGCGGGGGAGGGTAGAGCAGCATCGCATGTGCCGATGTCTGTGGATGCAGTGGGAGGGGGATTGCATTGCATTGCATGCGCCAGTCTGTGTGGGCGATCCTCTGCAGTCTATGCACTGGTGTCTGTGCAGGGGTGGGGAGGGGGATTGCATTGCCTGCACCAGTGTCTGTGCACAGGAAGTGAATTACATGCATCTGTGTCTGTACAGGGTGATGGTGTTGCATTCCATGCAACAGTGTGTACAGGGGGTTGCATTGTGCGCACCCATGCCTGCGCGGGGAGGGGGGCATTGCATAGCATGCATCAGTCTGTGCGTGGGAGGGTTTGCATTGCACGCAGCACATGTGTGCTGGGGTTGTATTAAAATGCAACCCCCCCCACCCTTGCACGCAATGCATGGACCAGCGTGTGGGTTGCATAGCATGCACGGGTGCACGTGCGGGGTTGCACCGACAAAAAGCAACCCTGCACACACCAGTGCATGCCATGCAACCCCTTTGCAGGCATGTCGGAACGTGCAATACACGGACCGGTGGGTGGGCGGGTGGGGGTGGCAGCGTATGCCGCGGTGCACGCGCAGGGGTTGCATTGCGTGCGCAGGGCGGTTGCGCGGCGCACACAGGCGTTGGGGAAAGGAGCTGCGTTGCATGCATCGGTGCGCGCGGGGTATGTACGTTGCATTGAACGCCCCGGGGGGCGGGGGGGTTGCATTGCACGCACCGCGGGCGCGCGGCGGGGGGATACCAGCGGCCGCGGCTCCCAGGCTCCAGCGTGTCACACACACGCCGCTCCGCCTTCCTCCCTGGCCTGCCGAAGGCGGCTTCTGATTGGACGAGGGCTGTGCCGCCCCTAGCCAATGGGGGCACAGTGCGATGACTTCATCCTTTGGTCGCCCCGGGCGCGGATTGGCTGTGGCCAGCCCCGCCCCCGGCCCCCACGTGGGGCGTGTGTGTGTGTGCTGGGGGCGGGGGGGTTCCCGGTCCGGGCGCTGATTGGCCGCGGTGCGGGCCGCGGCGGCTCCGCTGTTGCCGAGAGGAAGCGCGAGGGGCCCGGACGAGGCGCTACGGAACCGGGCCGGGAGAGACCGCCGGGTGAGCGCATGAATATGTTAATGAGATGCAAATGACCCTTCCCCGGGAGGGCGTCCGGAGGGGGCTCCTGTCCTGTCCCCTTGGAGTTTCGCTCCCAGGCCCTGCGGGGGGGGGCGCCCGCCGGGCTGCCGCGGGGGGTGATGGGAGTTGTAGTCTTTCCGCGCGGGGGGGGCCGCCCAGTGGCTTCCGAGGGGCGGGTCACGGCGGGGACTACGTCACCCAGCGCGCAGCGAGCGGCGCCTGGCCTGGCCTGGGGCAGGGTCGGTCGCGGGGGCTGCTGGGAGTTGTAGTGTGCGGAGTCCGTCGGCGGGGACTACGCCTCCCGGCAGGTTCCGCGCCGGGCGGGAAGCGGCCGCGCTGCGTACCGGGAGCCGTAGTCGTCCCGCGGAGCGGGGGCGCCGGGGCTCGTGCCGGGATGCGGACTACAACTCCCATGACGCGCCGCGCGGCCTCGCGCTTCCCCCCTCGCTCCGCGCCATGTAAACAAGTCTGGGCCTGGCCCCGCCCCGCCCCTCTCTGCTATTGGCTACTGTACCTCCTGTGCCGGACTCCTCTGCGCCTTCTCGCTCTCTCATTGGCTACTGTAAGTGTCCCTCGCAGGGAAGGGGCAGGATGAGCCTGGGATAGTAACCGCCTCTCCTCGCCTCTGATTGGCCACTGCCACTGCTAATCTTGGGAGGCGGGCCATGCCCAGGTTTGCCTCGTGTCCGTTGGTCCCCGCGACTGCCAGTCAGGGGTTTATGCGCGCTGATTGGCCGGCGGCTCCAGCTGGTCCAGATTCATTCACCATTTTGTCTGTTGGAGTAAAAGGGGCTCGGAGGGGCCGAGAGGGGCTCGGGCTGGACCATCCCGTGGTGCGGGGGGGACCGGGCTGTACCAACCCCCTGGATAGGGGGCAGGGCTGTACCAGGCTCCCCCTCGGACGGGGGGGCAAACAGGTAAGGGGGTCCCCGGGGCGATACCAACCCTCCGTCAGAAAATAGGGGGAAGCCCCCCCGGCGGTACCAACCAACCCCCCCGCTCTGAGAATGGGGGGAGCCCCCTCTGACGGTACTAACCAACCCCCCTCTAAAAAATGGGGGGAGCCCCCCGGGCGGTATGTACCAACCCCCCCTGAAAATGGGGGGAGCCCCCCGGGCGCTACCGACCCCCCCTGAAAATGGGGGGAGCCCCCCCGGGCGGTACCATTTTCAGTAGTGTGGCAGGAAAGGGCTGCACCATTTTTTGGGCAAGGGGGTTGCGTTGCTATTATGGGATGGGGGTTTCCCGGGTGAGAGGGACCCCCTGGGATAGTATTATGGGTTGGAGAGTGGTGAGCCACTCAGGAGACCCCAGCGTGTGTGTGTGTGTGGGGAGCTGGGGGTGAGGGGGATCCTCTGGGCCTGACAGACTAGGGGAAATGGGGCCCAGGGCGTGGGGGTGTCAGGATGTCCTAGGGGGCCTGGGCAGTCGGTGTTGAGGCGGGGGGAAGGCTGGAGCTGGGGAAGATGAGCTGGGGGGGGGTGCAGAAAAGGCAGACGGGGCTGGCATTGTGGGGGTGGGGGCTGGCCCGGGGGGGTGTTGGGATTGGGGTTCCCTGGTATTGGTGGGGTTGGCGGTTGTGGCCCCATTTCCTCCCAGGGATGCCCAGAGGGGCCCTGCTAGGCCAAGTGGCCCAGGACTCCGGAGGATACAGGCAGGGCCCAGCTGCTCTCCCTCCCTCAGCCCATCTTAAGGGGGGAGGGGGTGGCGTTCCAGCCACTCCTGGGTCTCTGCCTGAAATTGGGGGCCAGGAATCGTCCCGGGGGATCTCAGCAGCTGGGACGTCCCACACACCTTTACACACTCTGGGGGGTGGGGGGGGGGCTTTAAGATTTGCACATGGGCAGAGAGATTTCCCCCACACACACCTTGCTTAACCTCTCCCTGCCTGGGGTAGGCTGGGCTGGGCCAGGATTCAGGGCAAACAGGTATGTGAGGGGCAAATTTAGCCCCGTTCCCAGAACAGGGTGTATTGGGGGATGTTCCTCTCCCACACAGGGGCTTACTGCCCCCACGCAGGAACCCACTTCCCCCATGGTGGACATGAGATCCCAGCACTCCCTCTGGCCCCCCTGCCCTGGGACTATACACACAAACTCCCCCCTGGTAGTTGGGATGTTGGGGGAGGGCTGTGGGTCGGGGTTCAGGGGCCCCAGTAGAGCTGGGGGAAGCCCTGGGTGGGTTGTCCAGACCTCACCCCTTGACCTGGTCTCCCCCCCCGCCCCTGCCCTCCCAGGTCCTGTGAGTTCACCCTGCCTGGAGGCTGGAAGATGAAACCCGCGAGGAAGGCTGCCAGCTCCTCTTCTTCCGCCTCGTCCAGCAGCAGCAGCAGCCGTTCTCCCCCATCCACTCGGGCCAAGACCCAGAAGCGCAGGACGGCTGAGGGGGGGCCCAAGCCGGCAGAGGAAGAGGAGGCGGGCGGGGGAGGTGGGGAGGAAAGCCCTGCCCAGCCCCCGCCCTTGTCAGGCCCCCATCTCATGCCAGTGAAGATGGACCCCGGCTCGCGGGAGCTGCCTGGCAGGCAGAGTGATCCCTACGAGACACCCGAGGGGGAGCCGGGGTGCGACGACCCCCCAGGGGAGCCCCCTCTGAGCCGCAAGACGGCCACCTTCAAATCCCGAGCCCCCCGCAAGAACCCAGCGGCCGGGGAGGAGTGGAGCGGGTCCGAGGGCTCCGGGGTGCCAGGCGAGGAGGGCGCCGGGCGCTGCCCCTCCTCCAGCACCGACACAGCCAGCGAGCACTCGGCTGACGAGGACGCCAAGGGAGCTGGGGGGGAGCTGTGGGGCCTGGCTCCCGGCCCCAGCGACTATGACCTGCGGCTGCTGCGCTCGCAGCGGGTCCTGGCCCGGCGCCAGGGCATCTTCCAGCCAGCCGTGGTCAAGCACGTCCGGCGTGGCCAGGACCTGGGAGTTCAGTTCGCCGGCGACCGGGCCGTCACCTACTACGAGGGGGCGCTGGGCTCGGGGGCCCTGGACGTGGTCCTGGACACCACGCCCTCTGCGGGCGCCGTGGCAGTGGGGGCCCGTGTCTGCGTCTGCGTGGCCCCCGAGGAGACGACCTACTACGAGGGCACTGTGATGGAGGTGAGCCTGAAGCCGGCCTCCTACAAGGTGCGTTTCGCCGGCCCCAGCCCGGCCCCCCGCAAGGACACGGTTTGGGTGCCACGCTCCGGCCTGCGGCTGCTGCGCCCACCCTGGAACCCAGCTGCCGCCGCGCCCCCCAAGCCAGAGGAGGAGGAGCCCCCTGGCCCTGAGCCCAAGCAGCCGGAGGACGCCGAGGTTTCCAAGATCAGCGCTGGCGTGCGGGGGGCCGGGGAGGAGAAGCCCTCGGCTGCCCCCCCGCAGCTGCTGTCGCCCCCCAAATCCCCGGCATTCGCCCGCCTGCCGGAGCAGGCCTCCCCGCTGCTGAGCCCCGAGGCGGGCGGCAGCCGCAGCAGCAGCGTGGTGTCGGTGGAGAAGTGCAGCACGCCGGGCTCGGGGCGCTCCCGCACGCCCCTGACGGCCGCCCAGCAGAAGTACAAGAAGGGGGACGTGGTCTGCACCCCCAACGGCATCCGCAAGAAGTTCAACGGCAAGCAATGGCGCCGGCTCTGCTCCCGCGAGGGCTGCATGAAGGAGTCCCAGCGGCGGGGGTACTGCTCCCGCCACCTCTCCATGCGCACCAAGGAGCTGGAGAGCCTGTCGGAGGGCCGGGCCAGCGGGCTGCGGGAGGGCAGCGCCGAGTTCGACTGGGATGAGACGTCCCGCGACAGCGAGGCCAGCAGCGCCCGCGGCGACTCCCGCCCCCGCCTGGTGGCGCCGGCCGACCTGTCCCGCTTCGAGTTCGACGAGTGCGAGGCGGCCGTCATGCTGGTGTCCCTGGGCAGCTCGCGCTCGGGCACCCCGTCCTTCTCGCCCGTCTCCACGCAGTCGCCCTTCTCGCCCGCCCCCTCGCCGTCCCCCTCGCCCCTCTTCGGCTTCCGGCCCGCCAACTTCAGCCCCATCAACGCCTCGCCCGTCATCCAGCGGGCAGCCGCCCGCAGCCGCCACGTCAGTGCCAGCACGCCCAAGGGGGCGGGGGGCGGCGTGCTGAGCCCCGAGATGCTGCACCATGCCCCGCACCGGGAGCGGCACTCCTCGGGCATCGTGCCCACCTTCCAGACCAACCTGACCTTCACCGTGCCCATGAGCCCCAGCAAGCGCAAGGCAGAGGCGCCCCACGGCGGGCCGGGGGGGGGCGCCGACTTCCAGAAGAGCGACAGTCTGGACTCGGGGGTGGAGTCGGTCTCCCACACCCCCACCCCCTCCACGCCCGCCGGCTTCCGGGCTGTCTCACCGCCGGGCCCCGGGCCCTTCTCCTCCCGCTCCCAGCAGGCCTCGCCGCTTTTGCTGCTCTCCCCACCCGCCGGGCTGACCTCCGACCCCAGCCCCATGGTGCGCCGGGTGCCGGCCGTGCAGCGGGACTCGCCTGTCATCGTCCGCAACCCCGACGTGCCGCTGCCTTCCAAGTTCACAGAGAAGCCCCGGGAGGGGCGGGCAGGCAGCCCCCGGCTGGGCAAGGTGGGCACGAAAGAACAGCTGCAGGTGCCGGTGCCCATCAATATGGGGCGGGCGCTCCCCTGCAGCCAGGCCAGCGCTGTCCCGGCCCCTGAGCAGGCACCCCCCGTCTTCAGCGTCTCCTCGCCCTTCCAGCCGGTCGCCTTCCACCCCTCCCCGGCTGCCCTGCTGCCCGTCATTGTGCCCAACGACTACCCCGGGCCGCCAGCCCCCAAGAAAGAGATCATCATGGGCCGGCCTGGCACAGGTAAGGGACCTCCGGGGCGCCCTCAGGCCTGGCCTCAGTGCAGTGCTGCAGGGACTGGGGCTGGGCTCGGGAGGGGGCGCTCTCCCCTCTGGCATACAATGGTCTTGGACCTGTGGCTGCATATTTCTGCTGGGACAGGGGTTCCTGTATGAACAGCTCCTGTGCCCCACCCCAGAGGGGCCACATCCCAGCGCCGGGCGAGGGGTCCCTGTATAGACAGCCCCCGCCCTACCCCAGAGGTGGCCGCATCCCAGCGCCGGGCGAGGGGTCCCTGTATAGACAGCCCCCGCCCTACCCCAGAGGTGGCCGCATCCCAGCGCCGGGCGAGAAGCCTTTGTGCCTTTGTTGGAATACTAGTCTGTCAGCTCAGCTCAGCTCTCGACATTGATCTCTAGCCTAGTTCAGCCTAAAAGGCAACCGCTCCCCACCCCCCCCCCCGCCCTCTGGCTGCTGAGGGGGGCTGGGGTCAGCGGGTGGGACGGGGGTAACGTGGCTGCGTGTGATGCTGAACGTGCACAGCCTTGGGTGTGTGTGCGAGAGATGCCAGTGCCCTGAAGGGGACGCTGTGTGCGTGTCAATGCTTCTGAGTGTGTGCGCGTGTCTCACGGTGCCTGGCCCTGGGGGCTCAGTCTCCCTCCGGTTCCCCCGGTGGCTGTCGCCAAACCCTGCTGGCGCCCCCCCCATTGTGCGTTGCTGGCCACTCACACTCGCCTAGGCTGGATGGGCTCCTCGGCGATTCTGCGTGGGGCTTTTTCTCTTCTTACCCCGGCCTGGGTCTCTGGTGCAGGGCTTGCACGTGGGACTCGTGTGCTCAGTTTTGCACAGCCTGGGGCTCTTGGGGCAGCGTTTGCACCATGGGCTCATAGCTCATTCTTGCCCTAGTTTGGGGTTCCCAGTGCAGGGTTCACACACTCGCTGTCGCACTGAGCCAGGCCTCTGGTCAGAGGCCCCCATCACCAGCCATTGTGGACTGGCTGTGGAATCCCTGGGGGGTGGGGCCTAGCTCCCTGCCCCAGGGGTGTGGGTGTGAACGGGCAGCTCACTCGCTCCCCTCCCGTCACCATCCCTGCAGTATCGGGGATGTAGTTTGCCGTCTCTTGGCAACCGGTAACCAGAGCGACCATCTCCCTGTGCTCCAAGCCCCATCTCTATTTATATTGGCGTGAGAAGGGTGGGTGTGCAAGTGGGCGTGCGATGGGGTTGCACGAGTGCAGGGGACATGACAGAGCTGGCCTCTCCACCCTCCCGCGGATAATGCTCATACGCAACCTCTCCCACAGTGCCTGTGTGACTGGCATAGATGTGCACAAAAGCAGTTGCACACATGACATACGTACACGGATCACACTCATGAACACAAGTGTGTTACGCCCGGTTCACATGTCACTTGCATGTTTCACAGACCCCACCACTTTAGTCACAGCCCTGGGGTGCACACCTAACACACCCCAGACTTGGCACAAACACTGCGCTCACACCTTGCCCACTGCTCCTGCACACTTGTGCACACCAGGCAGCTCCAAGCTGTCAAACGTGCACAGTATGTATACAGATGCCTCCCCCTTCCCACAGACATGAGTGTGTTCTACACACGGATGCTGGGCATGTTATCGACACCTGGGTCCCATAGCAGTGGGGCTGGGGGTTGGCCCGGAAATCCTGGTTCTGGGCGGGCGCAGGCTCACGCCAGCCCTCAGCCGCAGCGCCACGCTTGCCAGGCCGGAGCAGCTGCTCACGCACACGGGGTCCTGGTGGCGCTGGGTCCTTCTGGTCCAGCTGAGCCCTGGCAGCTTCACAGGTGGTGGCTTTGTGGCACGCACGCATTGCACGTTCGTCTGCCATCTCACACTCTCTTGCACCCCTTTGCGATCCCTCTGTCCCTCCCCCATGCGCTGGCATCTGCTTCTGCCCGCTCACCTCCCCTGAGGGGCGTCTCGCACCCTCACGCTGGCATTGCTGGGTGGGTACTTGGGCTCTGGGTCGCCCTGGAGACCCCACGGACTCCATGGCAACCCCTGGGGGGGTGTGTGTGTGTGTGTGTGTCTGGGGTTGCCATGGAGACCCCATCCTTCCTGTGTGGGGCAGGGTTGCCCCAGAGTGGGGGAGGGGGAACAGGCTGCCCCCTAGTTCCTTTCGTGCTCTCATGGTCGCCTCCCCACCAGTCTTCTTAGCGGGCCCCCCTGGCTGCGAGACTCATCCCTGGTGGCCACTGGAACGTCCCACGGGCCGTCCCGTGTTGCTGCCCCCCAGAACTGCATGGGGGGAGGGGACCCCAAGACTGTGTCTCTGCCGCCCCCTGCTGGAGGGGCTGAGTCCTGCTCTGTGTGTGTGTCCCTGCCCCCCCCCCCCCCCCCCCGCTGGAGGGGATGGGCCCTGCGCTCTAGTCCCTGTCTCTTGCTGTGTGTGTTACGCTGTACATTGTGGGCAGTTCTGTGTGTTTTGTGGGCTGTCTCTTGCTGGCTGTGTGGTGTGTGGGTTTTTTTTCTGTACAGGATATGTGTGTTCTTATACTTCGGGTGTGTTGCCACGTTGGAATTGTCTTGCTCTTGTTGTGTCTCTGCTCTTTGTGTCCGAGTGTATTAAACTGCATTTGCAGGTGTGCGTAGTGTGGTGTTACAGTGCATTGGCATGTGTGCGTCCCTCTCAGTGTATCTTGTCTCTCTTGTGGGGTGTAGGTGCGTGTGCATGTCTCCTACTGTACATTCGTGTCTCCTGTGTGTGCGCGTGTTTGGGGGGGTGTTTTGTGTGTCTCTTGCTTGCAGCGTGTGTGTTTGTTTTCCTCTCTCACATGTGTGTTTGTGCCCGCCCCCGTGAGCTCTCAGCCCAAGGCTGGGGGGCATGGAGTGGGGTTGCTGGGTTCTCTCTGACCCCTACTCCATGGACCTGCCCGGGGTGTGAGCAGAGGCCGTGTTGACTCAGGCTGCCGGGCCTGGTGTATGTGGGGAGTGTGCATGGGCCCCGGGTTAGCAGGTCCCTGGGATGTGGGGGCCCACCCGGCAGGGCCGGCTCCTCCCCCTCGCCCCTGGGTGTGTGAGCGAGGTTATCCCAAGAATGCAGCTGGGCCCCCAGCGTGCCCGGCGGGCAGCCAGCGAGGAGCCAGCACCCCTGGGAGTGTGCGTGTGTGAGATAGAGAGCAGCTCTGTGTGTGTCAGTGTGTGGTAGAGAGTGGGTGTGCGTCAGCATAGCCAGATACATCAGTGTCTGTGTGTGAGCACGGGGGGCGTGTGTCTCCAAGTCCGAGTGTGAGCGTGTCAGCAAGCCCAGCTGTGTGAGAGCGCGCCTGTGGGAGCATGTGTACATATGCACAGCTCCGTGGGGGAGTGAAAGTGCACAGCTGTGTGTGCAAACATGCTGGTGCACACCTCTCTGGGCACGTCCTCGTGCCTGTGTATGTGTAAAGGCAGGTATTGGGGTGAGAACATGTGAGCATTTCGTGCCCATGAGGGGCAGCTGAGTGGGATGCCTGGGTGGGCGTGTGGTTGACGCGCAGGCGAGTGTGGCCAGGGAGCACACACTGCTGCGAGCGTGTCAGCTGTGGGGGTGTGGGGCATGGGAATGTAAGATGCGTACATGAGTGTGTGTATGACACACGAGTGAGCGTGTTAGAGGTGCACAGGAGTGTGTGTGGTGCGGCTGCAGGCGTGTTAAGCGCACATGTGCGGGTGTATGGAGTGTGCGTGTGTGGCGTGTGTGCGGGCGTGTTAAGAAGTTCACGTGAGTGTGCAGGCGGGTGCGGGAGTGAGCGTGTCAGAGGCGCACAGGAGCGTGTGTGGGGGCGGGTTAAGAAGGGCACGTGAGTGTGCAGGCGGGTGCGGGAGTGAGCGTGTCAGAGGTGCACAGGAGCATGTGTGCAGGCGTGTTAAGAAGGGCACGTGAGTGTGCAGGTGGGTGTGGGAGTGAGCGTGTCAGAGGTGCACAGGAGCGTGTGTGCGGGCGGGTTAAGAAGGGCACGTGAGTGTGCAGGCGGGTGCGGGAGTGAGCGTGTCAGAGGTGCAAAGGAGCGTGTGTGCGGGGCGGGTTAAGAAGGGCACGTGAGTGTGCAGGTGGGTGTGGGAGTGAGCGTGTCAGAGGTGCACAGGAGCGTGTGTGCGGGCGGGTTAAGAAGGGCACGTGAGTGTGCAGGCGGGTGCGGGAGTGAGCGTGTCAGAGGTGCACAGGAGCGTGTGTGCGGGTGGGTTAAGAAGGGCACGTGAGTGTGCAGGCGGGTGTGGGAGTGAGCGTGTCAGAGGTGCACAGGAGCGTGTGTGCGGGCGTGTTAAGAAGGGCACGTGAGTGTGCAGGCGGGTGCGGGAGTGAGCGTGTCAGAGGTGCAAAGGAGCGTGTGTGCGGGCGTGTTAAGAAGGGCACGTGAGTGTGCAGGTGGGTGTGGGAGTGAGCGTGTCAGGTGCACAGGAGCGTGTGTGCGGGCGGGTTAAGAATGGCACGTGAGTGTGCAGGCGGGTGTGGGAGTGAGCGTGTCAGAGGTGCACAGGAGCGTGTGTGCGGGCGTGTTAAGAAGGGCACGTGAGTGTGCAGGCGGGTGCGGGAGTGAGCGTGTCAGAGGTGCACAGGAGCGTGTGTGCGGGCGGGTTAAGAAGGGCACGTGAGTGTGCAGGCGGGTGCGGGAGTGAGCGTGTCAGAGGTGCACAGGAGTGTGTGTGCGGGTGGGTTAAGAAGGGCACGTGAGTGTGCAGGCGGGTGTGGGAGTGAGCGTGTCAGAGGTGCACAGGAGCGTGTGTGCGGGCGTGTTAAGAAGGGCACGTGAGTGTGCAGGCGGGTGCGGGAGTGAGCGTGTCAGAGGTGCACAGGAGCGTGTGTGCGGGGCGGGTTAAGAAGGGCACGTGAGTGTGCAGGCGGGTGCGGGAGTGAGCGTGTCAGAGGTGCACAGGAGCGTGTGTGCGGGTGGGTTAAGAAGGGCACGTGAGTGTGCAGGCGGGTGTGGGAGTGAGCGTGTCAGAGGTGCACAGGAGCGTGTGTGCGGGCGTGTTAAGAAGGGCACGTGAGTGTGCAGGCGGGTGCGG